TCAGTCGCACCCTCCCAAACTGCAAATCGTCACCCAGGATGGGGCTGAGGAGCAGGAGACAGGTTGAGGCTGAATTCTGCCTCTTATCCCCTGCATCTGAGTTTTCCCGTGTGTACAGTGGGGATACTAAGAATCTCAAGCCTGGACAGCTCCCAGCGAGATGGTGTCTATGTAGTAACAGAAGAGGCAAGTTGGAAAAGACTCCAGCAAGCATGAGGCCAAGCTTCCCCATAGCTGTCAAATGCATTTCTAGCCCAGTGCCCTGCACTGCTCACGGGACCTGAGTGTTAGCAGTAACTGGAGAGCGTTTTCCAGCCCTGCAGTGTGCCCCTGCCCCTGAGCGTCCTCTCTCTCTCACCCTGTCTGGTATTCCCCTTCCCCTCTAACACCCAGGCCTTGGTTTAGGGCTGCTGCTATCCTACGTCTGCTCAGGAGCCTGCCCACATAGTTTCAGATGCATTGTACATCCTGCTTCCCCACCTGCCTCCCTTCTTGCTTCCCCCACCCCCCACAAAGCAAAACAAAACCAAACCCCTACCCATCACGCTTCCTCCCGGAGCATACTTGATGTATCACAGAGACTTGGCTGTCCACTGTTCTGCTGTGAGTACTCCCCATACCCTTCTGCATCTGTGAGTCTGTCTGGAACTGTGAGAACTGTGAGTTTGTCAAGAACAGTGGCCCTGCTGATGGTGCCAGCTTCCTGAACAGCTCATGTTCAGGAAGGCAGGTGGTGAGCACACCAGGGGTGGGCGACGGGGGGTGAAGTAGGACTGGGTGATAGATGGGAAGACGGATGGGTGGATAGTATGAACTAATGGATGCAGAGATGAACTGATGGATGCAGAGATAGTATGAGCAAATGGATGCAGGGATGGATGGATGGATGGATGGATGGACGGTGGATGGGTGAATGAATGAGTGGATGGATGGTGGATGGGTGAGTGAATGGATGGATGGTGGATGGGCGAATGAATGGATGGATGGTGGATGGGCGAATGAATGGATGGATGGTGCATGGGTGGATGGATGGATGGATGGATGGATAGGTGAGTGAATGGTTGGATGGTGGATGGATGAATGAATGGTTGGATAGTGGATAGGTGAGTGAACGGTTGGATGGATGGGCAAGTAGATAGATGGCTATGTAGGTGGGCAGGTGGATGGATGGATAGATGGATGGATGGATGGAAGAACCTGGGTTCTGCTCCTGATTTTGCCATTGGCTTGTCACGTGACCTTAAATTAACAGTGACCTTAACAGTCACTCTCCCCTCTGTTTCTTTATTTGTAAAACGAGAGGATTAGATTTAATAATCCCCAAGATTTCTCCCAGATTTGATGTTGGACAATTTATGATGATCAAAAGTTTTTAGGGAATGGTGATGATAGAAAGGCCCAACACAGTGAAGGGGGGCAGTTCAGTGAGCCGTGTGAAGGCACACAGCAAATCAGCTTGGCCACAAACCATAGGACTCAGCCTGTGTCTACACCCCGGATTTGCTCCTGCCCCTATCCACTCTTCTATTTCTGCCTCCTGCCCTAGCTCACAGTCCAAAGTATGGTTCAGGCGACTTCTTTTCCAAGGAGCTGGAGGAAGAGTTCTAAGGGAAGGTGAGGGGCCATAAGACCAGGAGCAGGTAGCCAGCGGCAGCTCCCTGGTCTCCACCAACCTGAACCTCTTATCCATGGTCATTTTTTTTTCTCTCTCTCTCTCTCTCTCCCATCCGATCCTCCCCAGCTTCCTTGAGTCATGGCTTCTTCAAAGCTACGAGAACCTGCGGACGAGGTTTTTGGTAAGTTCTGTTTGCTCTAACTCTATCCAAGGCCATCGGCATTGGGGGGATTCCCTCTGGGACTTCAGTGTGTGTCAGTGTGTGTGTGTGCGCGCGCGTGCGCGCGCTCTGTGGCCTTTCAACCTGGGTCTTTGTCATTACTATCTATGCCAATTACAACAACAATAAGGGTCTTCATTTATCAAGTACTGTCTCATGCCAGGTACTAGGCTAACACCCCAGTCTCCCATGCGCTATATCATTTACTCCCCACAGTCATGCTAAGAGGTGTGCCCTTTGTCCAGACAAGGTGCCGAGAGCACAGAGTGCTGCAGTGACTTGCTTTAAAGATCACACGGCAGGTTAGTGGCAGAGCTGAGACTAGAACTCCAGACCGCCTGACTCCCTGCTCTCCGTGTCCCCGTGTCCCCAGCACAGGTGATGCACGTTACCTCCACATCGCATAGTGAGGGACCTTAGCCTGCAGGATGTGCGTGGAAATCAAATGCATAGGGCACAGAGCCTCTGTACCCCCAGGCTGGCCCCCTCTTTACACACTGGGGTGCATGCGCGCACTTGCTCCTTCCATCATTTACCCCCTGCAGTCTTTCTATTGTGTGATATGGGGAGAGACCACCCTGACAGGGCCGAGTTCCCAGCATGCACTGGGGTGGAGAGGCTGTTTCCTAGCTGGATTTGGTGGAGGAGTCGGGGAGCAGGGAAGGTGAAGGAACATGGAGGGAGAGGTGGAGACAGAAGCGGTTGCCTGAAGCCGATGGCAGGTGTGGAGCCCAGGACACTCACATTTGTGTGCACAAGCCTCAAGGGGCTCCCAGCTTCTCCTCCCCTGCCTTCTCATCTCTACCTGCCCTCCCCTCCTCTCCCCGCCCTCTCCTGCTCACCCGGTTCTCCCCTGTGTGGCCACATGCCCTGGCAATGCCAGGAACTCCTGCCTCCTGGTTCCTGGGAAACTGCTTTCCTGGCCTCCCTGGGGCCCGTGGAATGAAGGGTTTGCCTCCTGGACTCCTCCAGCCTCCAGCTGCCTCTGGGCCTCAGACTCTTGGGACTCACCATCTGCACCCAGGCCTGGCCTGACAGAAGTGAGCGCCCCCTTACCTCGGCTTCTGGGCCTCCCAACACCCCCTAACCCCAACTCTGCCTCTTTTCCGGCTCCCAGACCTGCTGAGGTAGCTGGCCGCCTTCCCTGCTTCCTGATTCGAAAGGCAATTAAATATTCATGACTCCCCAGTGCCCAGGGCTGGGCTAACTCCCTGCTGGGGAGAGAAAGAGAGAGACAGAGAGACAGATACAGAGATGGAGGGAAGCCAGGGAGCCAGGTAGAACAGAGACCAGAGGAGAGACAGGCCCCACCTTGTCTCAAAAACACTTAAGCCCCCCTAGAAGTTCCTTTGCTCCCTCGACCCTCCGACCCTCCGAGGTAAGCTGCCTGCAGTCCTGAGGTGGCCCAGAGTCAGGAGCAAAGGGCCCTTCTCCCTGGGCCGGGGCGGCTGGGCACCAGCTGTCCAGGCGTCCCAGAACGGCAAGAACACTAGTCTGGGAGCCAGGAGGCCTGGATGTTGTCCTGAACTCCCCCTGCACCTTTGGCCAAACCTTGCCTGTCTGAGCGTCAGTTTCCCCACCTATAAAATGAGAGGTTGGACTCACAAGGTGCTCCCATCTCCGCCTCAGGGGAGGTAGAGTGGGCTGAGTACTTACACACTGAGCCTCCGGAGCCAGCCTGCCTGTAACCTTGGCCCCTCTCTTCGGCAGCCGTGGGCCTTCAGGCAAATTAAGGCTGCCCTGGGGATTCCCGGAGTCTCTTCCTCCTAGGGTTGTGGGGAGTTTAAATGAGCTAGTGATCGGAAAGCACTTAGAACGGGTGCCTGGCACAGCGAGAGCCCCGTGAGTGGTAGCCATTCTTATTCTGTGGTTCAGTCCTTGCTGCTCGCAGATAACGCTTGGAGAGTCTGTGTCAGGGATCAGGGGGCAGAGGGCTCCCTCTGGAAAACCCCAGAAGCGAAGCAGGGGCAGCTAAGGAACTAGAGGCACAGCGTCAAGGCTGGGGTCCCAAATAGCAGTCCTCTGACAGGACCTCTCCCCTCGCCAAGCCTCCTCCACTGCATCTGGACAACTGTGACCGTTCCCGTGGGTCCACCCTCCCCGGTGTCCGGGCCGGTCCCCTCTCCTTGCGGCCTCCACTGGCCCACACCATCCCTTCTCCTTGGAAAGTTCTTCCCTGTTCTCTCTACCACCTTAGCTCTTCACTGTCTCCCAGACCTCAGCCCGGCTACCGAACCTATAGCTCCCAGCCCCTGCCTTCGTCCCTTCCGCAAATACCACTGGGCCCCTATCATGTGCCAGGCTCTGTTCCAGGCCCCAGGGAGACAGCACCGAACAAGCCAGACAAGGTCACTGCCCTCGAGGAGCTTGCGTTCTAGTGCGGGGGCAAGCGGGGGACCCGCACGGAAGCACCCACACGACGAGACAAGAAATGTGTCACGGTGCGGAGCGCTCCGCAGAGGACTTAAGTGCGGAGCGTGCACGTCACCACCTTCGCGTGTCTTGAGCCCGTCTCTGCCCGGCTCTGCGCTGGTCCCCAAAGGGTAACTTAGCTTCAGTACTGACTGACCACCTCCTCTCTGCCGGGCCCCGCGCCAGCTCTCACGGAACACGGCGGACGGCGCAGGGCTCGACCCTCTGCCGCGTGCGGACTGGCATGGGACAGTCACTTCCGACCAGACCCTAGGGCCAGGCCTGCAGAGGGGCAGCGGTCCTGCGGGGCCGGCGGAATGATGGATTTGAGTTGGCAGCCGGACAAAGGAGGGGTGGGGCAGAGGAGGGCTGCGGGAGCGGCCCAGGCAGAGGCAGGTGGAGACAGGGACCCAGGTGTGGCCGGCAGGTTAGTACCGCTCCCCGCAACGCCACCCGCAGCTCGTGCTCTCTGAGCCCTTAGCCACGGGCATTCTGGCACAGCTTTATATAGTGATCTGATTTAACGCTCACACAACCCTGCGGGGAACATACTCCTGCCATGACCCCGTCTTGCTGACGCGGAAGCCAGTATCCAAATGTAAGTGACTTGTCCAGAGTCACCCAGCAAATGGCACAGCCCCGGCCAGCCGGCTCTTAACCATGGTCCCTATAAGAGCCTGCTGTGCAGAGGAAATGTGGGAAACACAGAAAGGGGGAGCTGGGACCCCTCCGGCCTTGCCTGGAGGGCTGAGGGGCATGGGCTTTATGTTGTTGGCTTTGGAACCCTCCCCCCTCCCCCGCCCCGCCCTGGGTTTCAAAAGCAAGCAATTATGGGACACAGTGAGAAACGCGCTTTAGAAAGTTTCTTCTGGCTCGTGACAAGTGGGGAGGGAGGCGGACCGTTGGCAGGGAGCTCAGGATGGAAGGACGCTGAGGCCGTGCTCAGCTGGCTGGGTCTTCGGGGAAGTGGCTGGTGAAGGCCTGAGCTCAGGCGGTTCAGTCCCAAGGGAGCGAAGAGGCCGGGTTGCAGAGGTGTGAAGAAGGCAGATGGAGGGGCGCCTGGGTGGCGCAGTCGGTTAAGCGTCCGACTTCAGCCAGGTCACGATCTCGCGGTCCGTGAGTTCGAGCCCCGCGTCAGGCTCTGGGCTGATGGCTTGGAGCCTGGAGCCTGTTTCCGATTCTGTGTCTCCCTCTCTCTCTGCCCCTCCCCCGTTCATGCTCTGTCTCTCTCTGTCCCAAAAATAAATAAACGTTGAAAAAAAAATTAAAAAAAAAAAAAAGAAGGCAGATGGACAGAACCACGGCTTTTCCATTAGAATGATATTTACCAAGACCCTCCTATGTGCCAGCATCCATCCTGAGTCAGAGCAGTGAACAAAATAGAGGAACGTCAGCCCTCACGGAGCTGGCATTCTAATGACTGGAGAGACCATAAACTAAGCAAAATACACAGCATGCCAGAGAATGATACATGATATAGGGAAAAACAGAGATTTGGGTTCTGGGGCGGGGGGAGGGAATTATAAGTTGAGTGGTCAGTCAAGTCCTCGGTGACAGAAAACATTTAAAGCAAAGACCTGAAGGAGGTGAAGGAGAGAACCACGCAGAAACCCGTGGCGAGAGCCTTGCAGGAAAGGGAAAGAGGAAGTGCAAAGGCCCTGAGGTGCAGGCGAGGCTTGTGTGAGGAAGAGCCAGGAGGCTGGGATGGCCAGGAGTGGAGGGAGCACGAGGGGGAGAAGGAGAAGCTCAGAGAGGTAAGGGGGAGCACGGAGTGAGTCTGGAAAAGCCACTGGGACGACTTGGCGCTTACTCTGTGCGAGGTGGAAGTCCCCAGAGGGCTCTGAGCAGAGCAGTGACAAGGGCTGACATGTTCTATCAGGATCACTCTGGCCACCGCTGTGTTGAAAATAGACCGTAAATGGGAAAGGGAGGACAAGGGAAGATCAGCTTGGAGGCTTTTGCGATAATTGAGGCAGGAGGTGATAGTGACCTAGACCAGGGAGGCTGTGTGTCCCCCTCTCCTCCCTGCCTTCCCATCCTCTCCCTGCCTCACCTCTTCCCCCTTCTTCCTCTGCTGTCCCTCCCCTTCTTCTCCGTGTGTATGCCAGGCTCCACTCCTATTCCCCTGGATTATTTTGAACCTAATCCAAAACATTGCATCGTTTCACCATAAATATTTCAGTGTGTCTAGAGGTATGTCGAAAGTGGAGCTAACAGCCGAGGGCAAAGGGTAGCTTGGGGCTGAGTTGGGGGGCTGGGTGGATGACGGGGCCTTCTGCTGAGCCGAGGAGCAAAGGGGAAGCCGGTGTGAGGCAAGGCGGTGGGTTCATTTGGGTGGATTCCTTGAGGAGCCTGGGTGCCTTGGACGTGGCAAGTCCCCTGGCCGGCGCCGAGGCGCCCCGGGCTTCGGGGGTGAACCAGGAGGTGGTAGTTAAGTCAGGCCAGCAACTGGGGTGGCTTAGGGGGTGTCTGCAGACAGGACAAAGAGGAGCAGGGAAGGCAAGGCAGGCATGAGTGATGGGATGGGGGACCCTGAGATTGTGGGGGGGCGGGGGGGGAAGAAAAGGTCTTAACCCATCCTGAGGTCTGGGAAGGACATCTTTTGCCCGGAGACCCCAGTGCGAGAGCCTAAGTCTGGGGGCACGGGGCTAGTTCACCAGTGCAACAGATGAGAAGAGACTGGAGGCAGTTGGGACTGTTCTTGCTGAGGTTTGCCCTGCGCCGTCTTCCTCCACGTCTTCATCCGGGACCCAGCCCGGCACCGTCGCCCCCAGGATGGCGGAGACCAGGCCTCCCGGGGCCTGGGTTTCCCCCCTGACGCCACTGCTATGTTCCGGCTCAGCTCGCAGGCCTTCTGAGCAGTCTGCCTGTGTCTGGGCGCCAGCCCAGGAGTAGCTGTACCCGTCTCTGGAGCCGGAAAGGCTGGGATCCCGGGACCCTGCCGCTGGTGGCTGGCCCTCAGAACTTGCCCTCCCTGAACTCTCAGTTTGCAAGCCTGTTGCTGGCTAGCGTGGTAGTCCTGCTCACTGGGGTGTTTTTGGGGCGAGTGGCAGGCGAGGTGTGAACCTTCTGCACGTCGTTGGGGAGGGCTTCTTCAAGAGAGCTGTTATTACGTGATCTGTCGGCCTCATCCACAGCCCTCTCTCCACAGGCGACCCACGCAAGTGCCCGAGTGACTCCCGCCGTCTGAGAGCAGATGCCAAACCTCCTCTCTTATAACTCCCACCCAGACCCTTAGCCGCTTTGAGTGCTTCTCCCCTGACCCATCAGACAGGACCCTCTGTCTCCTCCGGGTGTACCGTGAGCGTTAGCCCCTCCATTCGGTCGCTATGTCAGACTGGCAGCTCTGGCTTAGCCCGGCGACCGTCCGGGACCCATTTCTCCGTCTCATTAAACCTACTCCGGGGCCCGGCACTTCCAACATTGGTTGAATGTCTGAAGTGTCGAGTGCAGGCGGCTGCCTACCTGGGTGGGCCTTGGCGCTTGCTGTCACTCCGGTGTCTGGTCTGTGTCCCCGACCTGGTTCACAGACCTGGACTTGGCGTGCCAGGAGACGTCCAGAACTGGACCAGCCAGTTTACATAGCCGGAGCATACTGCGGCCAGGGAACACCCGACCTTCCGCTTCCAGGCTCGGACGATGCCCAGCTCTGCAGAAGGGCGGCAAGGCTCCGATGGGCCAGGAGAGCAAGGTGCGGGCAGCCCACCCAATCCTGCGTCCCTACCCACCCCCCTCCATGCCCGCCCTTTCCAGGGAAACCCCACTCCCCAGATTTCTGACGGCTAGTGCTGCAACATTCACTCGGCCCCGTCAAATTTTAAAGAGTGTGATCATCCCATCATGGTGTGAGGGGACCTGAGGCTCTGAGAGGTTCAGTCACGATATTGCCAGTTAGAAGTGGTGAGGATTCAACCAGCTGACGAAGCCCCCCCCCCCGCCTCCCCCGCATCATCTCACAGCCCAGCCAGCCCTTGAGGGGCCCCTGCATGATTCTTGAGGGTGGAAACAATTCCCAGCCCCTCGGGGAAAATGAGGGAGGGGTTGGCAGTGGCTGCCCCTTTGCCCCAGATGACTCGCGGTGGGAGCCCCCTGCATGCTGCGCGCGCTCTGCACATTCGGGCCCGGGGTCCCCGATGGGTGACTCTTTCTGCCTGGCCTCGGTTCTTGCGCGGCGCCTGAGCGACAGAGCCGCCCAGCCCCTCGCCCGGCTCTGCACTACCGGCCCCTGCACGCCACCTCTGCACGAGCCTGGCTCCCTCCGCCTCTGCTCGCCGCGCTCGCCCTCCCGGACAGCTCGCCCAGCTTCATGGTGCCGCCACCCGCGCAGCCGCACAGCAAGCGGTGGCCAGTGGCAATGCGCCCCCGACTGGCGCGCCGGGACTGCAACCAGGGCGGACAAGCAGACCGCTGCACCCATGGCGACGGGGGGAGGGGGGGGCGTGGGAGGACACATCACGGCTCACGCATTCGCTTCCTGTGTACCAGACTCTGTTGCGCACTGGGGACACACAGGTGGGGAAACAGATGCAGCCTTTTCCCTCGCGAGGCTTGCAGTTTGGGGGAGAGGCCATCTAATAATTCCTTATAGGTTAAGGGGGAAGCGATCAAATCATCTCTCAACTAAACGTGCGGGTTACAAGCTGTAATCAGCGCTATGGGAGAAACGTGAGCGGTGGCGGGGGCGACACCGAGCAGGGCGAAAGGACCCAGCGGGGAGCATCCTGTAAGGCTTCTCTGAGGGCGTGACATGGGAGCCAAGATCAGAAGGATGGTTAGAAGTTGGTCAGGATAAACTGAACCCTGACTAGCAGCGGCCCCTACGCGTCCGTGGGTTGCATAAGGCTTTTTGCACATATTCCTTGAAACAGGCAGGTGTCATCACGGGTCCCGTGAAATAGGTGTTATTGTAGATCAGGTGTGATCATCCCCCTGTCTGAGATGAAGGCAGCTCAGCGAGGTAGGGCGATTTGTCCTCAGTCGCACAGCTAGCGAAGGGCACCGGAGCCAAGTTACCTGATCCTAAGTCAGAAGGGTTTCCATCACCTCACCCTGGCAGCTCAAGGAGGCGGGTAAGCCACCCCACAGGCAATGTCCTTCCCTCTCCTCTCCAAAAGATGACAGCCGGGACGCCAGCCCCCCTGAGCCTGCCAGCCCCACCATCGGCCTGGATAAGAAGACTCGCCGCAAGTTCTTGGACTTGGGGTGAGTGGAGAACGGGCCAGCAGAAAAGGCTTGGGGCTGTGGGGTACAGGGTAGCACGGCGGGCCACTCTGCCCCACTCCCCGCCTGCCCTCCCCACAGGGTCACCTTACGCAGAGCATCCACTAGCAAGAGCCGGAAGGACAAGAGCAGCAACCGCTTGTCCATGGGCAGCAGGTGAGTGGTGCCCACAGCCCCTCTGGCCACGGTTTCCGCCCGTCATTCTCTGTGTGGGCCCGGCCCTCGGCTCGGTGCCCCCACCCATGCAGGGTGCTCTCTCCGCAGGGAGTCAGTGGAGGGGTCCGGCAGGTCAGGGGGCTCCCCGTTCCTGCCCTTTTCCTGGTTCACAGACAGCGGCAAGGGCTCGGCGTCCTCTGGCAACACCACCTCCCCCGCCTGCTCCCCTAAACACGAGGGCTTCAGCCCGAAGAAGTCAGCTTCTCAGGTGAGCCCGTGGCCTTCCTGCCCTCGTGCGGGCCCCAGACTCAGGTGACACGAGGGCACGCTTCACCCTGGCTCGAGCTGGGATCCAGGCCTTCCTCGAGTCCATTTGTCTACCCACGGAGCCATCCGGTGACTCATTAGTTCGTCCGTTCTCGTTCTCTGAGTTCATTCATTCACTTGTTCGCTCACTCGCGCTGAGTCGTTCCTTCGTCGTTTCATTTACTGAATTCAACGCGTCAGTGAACACTGGGCTTCCCCTGGTGTATCCCCACCCCCCGCCCCAGCCTGAGGCCTCCTCCCCTCGGGCTAAGTCTCCTGCCTGGCTCGGCTCTAGCCCCACGTCCTGTCTTAGGAGCCAGCCGGGCTACCCGTGTGGTGGGGTGAGGCCTGGAGGCGACAGAGATGAGTGGGGCCCGGACTAGCCAGTGCTTAGGAAGCTCGCCGCCCTCTGGGAGAAGTGACACTGGGGGACAGAAGCAACAGTCTCTGCTTATGCTCATGCTTGTGCCACCCTCCATGCTTGCAAGGCTTCAAGTGCATGCTTTTGGTTTGCTGTCCCAAAGCGCAGGCACGCTGCCCCGGTCGAATAGATGAAAGAATAAGACGAAGAGAGAAGGACTTACCGCGTGGGTTGCTTGCCAGGCTCCAAGCCTGTTCCTTGGCTGTGCCTTATGTGCTCCCGGGGCAGAGGAGATCAGAAAGCTGGGAATTCGGGGAAGAAAGAGTTCCTTCGGACCCGGCGCTTCTTTGTTGCCTCTTTCCCTCCACGGACTCCTTGCATCTCTTCCTTCCCTTGTGCTGAGCCCTGGGATGACATAGTGAACAGACAGCCCAGGGCCTCAGAGAGCTTGTGGTCTCTACTCAGGCACTTAGCAGCCAGGGTGCCGGAGGCTGTGGTGGGGAGGCACAAAGGGGGACCCCTGACCTAGCCTGGGGGAATCCTGGTTGGCTGCCTGTAAGAAGTGACACCTCCTCCATTCCTGCTAACTATTCTGCCTCAGTTCTAGCCCCACGTGCTCCCAGAAGCCTTACGTCCTGATGCCTCCCGTGAGTCACCGTGTCATATGTGCCTGCCCAGCTCCTGGTTCATGCCTAGGAGGCACTGGTGCCCCGTCCCCAGATTCAGCTCCACGCAGACAGGGGGCAGGGGGTTGGGAGCGTGGGGTGGGGGGGGGGGACTCCCTTGG